CACCCTTGGAGAGGGTTGAAGAGAAAAGAAAGAAAAGTTGGGAGGAAATGGAAGGAGATTAGAGAGAATCCAATGGATTTATGGATTAAAGTGTAAGTTACAAGGTAGCCTAAGCTTCCTATTTATACCCAAAATGGGTACAAAAAGACAAAACACCAAAGCTTGGAGGCTAAGACTAATTCAAACTAGTTACAACATAAATAAAGCTTAACTAAGAAGTACAATACTTAGTTAAAGTTTAACTAAGAAGTACAAAGGCTAACTCAAGAGTAAAAATCAGATTTCTTCCAAAAATACAGCCCATTTACAGCTGTTTTCCATCTTCAAAAAGCCAGCACATTGTCTATTATGCCCTCCAAAAAGTAGTGCAAGACCCAGGTGAATGCTGTACCAATGCTGCAGCACCCGCTGTTTTCACAAAAACTCCATATTAGCATCAATTATGCATACCAACAAGTTAACCACAATTTATAGCTTCATACTAATAAAAGTATAAAGAAATAAGTGAAAATGACTCAAAGTGGGAATGAAAAGAAATTATAATAATTAAACGACGCAAAAAGAGTACTTTATGTGTTAAATTCTCAACACATATCATACCCCCAAACTTAAACCGTTGCTTGTCCCCAAACAATCAAAAGACAAATAAAAAGACTCAATAAAAATGCATGATCTAGGCATTAAGTGTCTTCCCAAAAAGAATTGTAGCAACATGACGTTCATAGCCTTTCATAAATCTAAGATATGTTACTCAAAACCAAGATCTTTGTATAAACCATAGGCTAGCATTACCTTTTCTTTGTCGAGTTCAAACACAATCACCAAATTAGGATCAATAGGGCTTAAAGGGGTATTCTCTCATTGGCGTATCTTTTCTCTCATAGCCTTTTTCAAATATACTTCACATAAATTTTTCAAATTTTTAGGCCTTTTGGCCTCTTTTGCTTGGAGTGCGCACATAGCCCCTATGGGACTTTTGTTGTGCCATTTCATATATTTTGTTTAAAACACATAGCCCCTATGTGACTTTTGTTGTGTTTTGAATACCCTTTGTGTGATAAGGAGTCAATTTAGAGCTTTGCTCTTTTGTATTGACTTTGTGTCCTTGTGTAAATTTCTCCTTCAAACTTGAATATGACAATGTCCTCATTGGCGTTTATGTGGGGTAAATGGTGTTTAAAGGGTGCAAGTGGCTAGCATGAGTGTAGAAAAGATGGCCTATTTCATTTCCGTAAGGTGATTGTGTGAGCAAAGTGTTTTCCCAAAAAGGGTTTTGCTAGTTCTAGTCAAAAACAAAGTATCATGATCAAATGATAAACAATCCCTAAAATTATTCAGGCTATGATCTCATGTGTTAACAGTTCTCAAGTGGAATGATCAAGCGTAAAAATAAGACTAGAAATTATTAAAAAAAACTATTCCCGACGAAAAAAAATAAAAATAAGAAGCTAAAGTAGGGTGGTAGAACCTGTCCTACTCCGAAGGAGTAGGCTGTGTGCTCCGGGCAGCCACGGATGCCATTCGTGTCCTCAGTCTTTTCGCCTCCGTCTTGTATTTGCTCAACTTTTGCTGMWTCTTCGTTAACTTGCCAGCTACCTCAGTCTCCAATCCGTCTTTCAACTTCTCGAATCGCTTCTTCATTCTCTTCTCGCTGGCCTTTAACCTCTTCTTTAAATCAGCTTGCATTGCCTCAATCCTCTCCATCAGCTCGGCTTTTTGCTCGATCAACAGATCCATCATGCTACCATTCAGCTCTACTATCTCCTCCATAGTTCGATTCAAATCTGGTCCATCCCTGCCTCTCTCACTCCGCTCTCGTAGTCTTGACACATCTTTTATATCAATCGTCCATTTTTCCTCACACTCCTTAATGATCAAGTCATCGGTAAACTCCGGAACACCCGCTTGCATCAGCAATTTGTGGATTAGACCTGGGAAAAACAACTTCCCTTGCCTTCTTTTAGCGCAGTAAAGAATGGCCTTTTCCACGACATCCCCCACATTTATTGACTTACCCGTGAGCACACAATATAACAGAATGATCCGATCGACCGAAACAGAGCTATCGTGGGTAGTGGGGTTGAGGGAGTACCGAATGAAGTTCATCCAGACGTTTGCATCGGGCTTTAAATTTGAAGCCCGATAGGTCCTTAGCATGTAATTAGCGTGGTTGTTCCACCCCGTCCTGACCTTTCCTAACTCTCTACTGATCTCT